TTCCTCCTCTGACTCCTCTTCTTCAGACTCCTCTCTCTGCGTTGCCTCTCTCTGCGATATTATAAGGTGTGTTAAGTAGTATTATTCTTATCAGTTTAATCCCTGTTATGTGCCTTTTCTTTGTTTGGTTTTGAAACCACAGTGCAGCACCAGAGGCCCGAAAAATTAGGCATGTACACATGCCTGAAAAATTAGGTATTGTTGCAGCCGCTGCTGTAGCAGCGGCCAGAAGAATTGATGTTTGTTTCCCAGGCAGAAAGTGCCCTAAAACAGTGTTCCCCAACCCCCGGGCCGCGGAACGTGGATCAAACGTTTACCGGTCCGCAGCGATAAAAAGGTTGGGGAGCACTGCCCTAAAACATTGCAGCTTGAACCCTAGTTGGTGGCGGATAAGTCACGCAAGTCAACCGGCAGAGCTAAAATACAGCAGTGTGTGGACCATTTTTAGCCCAAGGCAGCTCATCTCATCAGGCCTTTTTTAGTCGGATGTATCGCCCACTGTCAGTCCCGTCGGGATCCATCCCTCATTCATCTTAATAAAGGTGAGGTAATCTAGACTTTTTTGACCTAGGCGACTTCTCTTCTCAGTGACAATACCTCCTGCTGCACTGAAGGTCCTTTCTGACAGGACACTTGAAGCGGGGCAGGCCAGAAGTTCTATCGCAAATTGGGATAGCTCAGGCCACAGGTCAAGCCTGCACACCCAGTAGTCAAGGGGTTCATCGCTCCTCAGAGTGTCGATATCTGCAGTTAAGGCGAGGTAGTCTGCTACCTGTCGGTCGAGTCGTTCTCTGAGGGTGGATCCCGAAGGGCTGTGGCGATTCGTAGGACTTAAAAAGCTCTGCATGTCCTCCATCAACAACACGTCTGTAAAGCGTTCTGTCCTTGCCGGCGTGGTCGTGGGAGGAGGAGGATTACTTTCACCTCTTCCCCTGTTAGATTCCCGTTGTGCTGTGACATCACCCTTATACGCTGTGTAAAGCATACTTTTTAATTTATTTTGCAAATGCTGCATCCTTTCCGACTTTGGTAACATTTCAGCCACTTTCTGCTTATACCGGGGGTCTAGTAGCGTGGACACCCAGTACAGGTCGTTCTCCTTCGTGTGGTCTGAGTGCCATTCACCTGATAATGTGCACTCAGACCTGAGCTATCTGGGGATATGTTACATGTGTATATTTACTGTACCATTTGTCCCATTATGTATTTTAAAGTGATAGTCTGTCTTTGTGTCCCCACATGTGTAATGGATTTTGCCTTTGTCCTGGGAGATAATTGAATTACTTCTCCAGGGCAGAGGGGAGGAAGCCAGGATGCATTGTAGGGATGTTTTACTTCTGTATGTCTGTAATTGGTACATGTCTGTCTTTTGTTACAGTCTTCCATCTGGTCCCCTAGGGGAGTGTCCACCAGGTGGGAGACCTGCATAAATACTGGGCAGGTAGCCCTCATTAAACAGACCACCGCTTTACCCTCAACACCGAGCCTTGTCTCGTTTTTGGGGGGATTCACTGTATGCTGTTAGAGACTGATTGCCAGGAGTGTAAGCTGATTGTTTGCTTTTCCTTTTCGTCTGCTAGCAGCTATTTGGGAGGTTCCAGTTCGGGAGTTGGAGTGCTATTTTGTATCCAGTTCGGGAGTTTGGTGTTCTGCAGTAGCTGTGCCTGTATCTCTGGAAAGGTGGCCGATCGCCTAAACGGTTTACCCCTTGTGTGTAAAACGGTCCGTTACAATTGGTGGCAAGCGGCGGGATAGTTCCCACAGACTACAGGACAGCTACAGGCAACACCATTCCGTGCATTTACAATTTGAGGGCAACGCATGTCTGAGTACAGCGACCCTGACAGCAACAGAATGGAACCAGCAGTGTCATACGAGGAGGAGGACCTGGATGGCTGGGAGGTTTTAAGGAAAGGCATCTGGTACCAGGCCCTGGATAATGTACAATACCAGCGGGGCGAGAGTCTCCCCAGTGAAGAGCAGCGGTTGCAGAAGCAAGTGGCCCTCCGGATGCCCTTCCTGGGAGAGCAGCCCCTGAATGAATGGGTGAAGGAATTGGAGCACCGGGTATGGCAGGAGATTTGGCTGGAAGATGCCTACCAGGCGCTCTGGTGGTATGGGGCACAGTACCTGCCCTGGACAGCCGAGCATGACAAGCCAGAGGGAGAGGAGTTTGATGGTCCTGGCTTGTTATGGGAGGCTTTTTCAGAGCCTGAATTTGGGAGCCCTACACAAGCCCGGTTCAGTGATCTCTTGGAGTGGAGGGAGAGCAGGTATGACTGGGACGACACTCACGACATTGAGCAAGACCTGGCTCACCTAGCAACCCTGGAGTGGGAACTGGAGCAGGACTACCGAGATCTCTTCCACTCCATTGAGAAGATTCAGCAGGACAGCAAGGTGACAGATCCAGTTCCAGACCCATTCAGCTGGGAAGACATTGTTGATATTTTCTGGGAAGAACCCCAGGTGGCCGGTAGAGATGGGACCGAGGTCTCTCCACCGGTCCTGCAGGGAATTGGGAGCCCAGTCTCCATTCCCCAGCGGCAGTGTGATATGCCGGGAATTGGGAGCCCAGTCTCCATTCCCCAGCGGCAGTGTAAAGTGCAGGGAGAGGAGAGCAGCGTCCTCCCTCCACAGCGGCAGGCTGAGTTACAGGGGGCAGAGGTAGTTGTTCCTGCCCCCCAGCAGCAGAGTGATATGCCGGGAAGGCAGTGTAAAGTGCAGGGAGAGGAGAGCAGCATCCTCCCTCCCCAGCGGCAGGCTGAGTTACAGGGGGCAGAGGTAGTTGTTCCTGCCCCCCAGCAGCAGCGTGATTTTTTGGGAATTGGGAGCCCAGTCTCCATTCCCCAACAGCCCAGTCAACAGTCCCCAGCGGCAGAGTATCCAGCAGGGAATAGAGAGCCCAGCCTCCCTTTCCCCGCAGCAGGACACTGTATTGGGAGCGGAGACAGTCGGTCTCCCTCCACAGAGGATGAAAGTATGTATGGGAGAGGAGCTTGCTACCACCTCTCCCCAGTGGCGGATCATTAATGGGCAGGGAATAGAGAGCTCAGTCTCCTTTCCCCAGCGGCAGAGTGTTCTATTGGGAGAGGAGCCTGTTACCCCCTCTCCCCAGCGACAGCTTAGAGTATCCAAAGGGGAGACAGTTGGTCTCCCCCTCCAGCAGCAGAGCTATGTAACCAAAGGGGAGACAGTCCGTCTCCAGCAGCAGGACTGTGTATCTAAAGGGGAGACAGTCGGTCTCCCCTCCAACAACCAGGCTTCAACCAGGCTACCCTCCCAGTAGTGCTGGCAACAGGGCAGAGTGACGCTGGTCTCTGCCCACGCAGCACCCCACCAAGTCAGCGTACCCGTACCCAGCACAGCCGTGGTGAGGCACCTGGACATGGACAAGCTTCTCCTCTACCCAGGTGCAGTAACTATTTATTGTGGGTGGGCTGTGCTGTTGATTGTGTTTTGTGGGTGGGCTGCTGGACTAACAAGGGCACTGACCGGCAGGAGGTCAGATACCCTGTTAGTCTGTTTGGAAAAAGGGAGAGATGTGACGAGAGCAATCTCGCCACATTGCATTGGAGAAGCCTGGTTGCTCGCCTGCTGCCTTTGGACTATGGCCCCATGTTAAAAGACATCTTTTTTACCTGCAGAAAAGCTTAATTCGTGCTTTTCTGCCTGGGGTTCGGTAGATTTGTTTGAATGTGTTATACCCCAGATAGGAATCCCATGGAGCCCATTCGTATGAAACTGACAGTATAGACTTTGGCTCCATGGCGATTAAACTGTATTCGTGTGGTCTGAGCGCCATTCACTTAATAATGTGCGCTCAGACCTGTGTTTTACTGTCTTTGTGTCCCCATGTGCTCAATGGAGTCTGCCTCTATCCCTGGATAATTGGATTACTTTCCCCATTGTCCAGGATAGAGGGCTCTGTAAAACCTATTTGAGCCAGATAGCCATGCTGCCAGCCAGGGTACAAAAGATACTTTTTACTAACTTTTGAACCCCTGGTCTGATTCATGCCATTTTTTAATATGTTGTTCCCCTGAATGGATTGATTGTGAATATGTCATTTTATGTGAATGTGAAGTATGGTTTTAGAGTTATGAAAGTGAAAAATATTTTTATGAACTTTAAATGTATTCAACGTGTTGTAGGAATGTAGACATATTGTAAGTTATTATTTTAAGCATATCCAGACATCGAGGGGCCTACCCAGATCGATTACTATCATAATGTAATTTATACACATACTGTAATTTACACACATATGGTTTTAAGTCAAGAATGATGGATGGAGACTTGTGGACCCTGTTGATAATAACCTTTGACCTAGCCTTGTAAGCCTGAATTCCTGTGAAGGTTCACATTTCTATAGGCAATCATTCATTCATTCATTTAATTAGAAGTCTCAAGAAGGTCTTTGTGTGTAACTTACCAAAACATCATAACGTATGGCTTTAATCATAGATATCGAATAATACTAAGTTACCACCTATTTTTTCTTAGATAACCAATTATTGTAAAGCAGGCAAACCTTATGTCATTATGTATACGCCCTATGTAATTGAATTTTAAATGTATATAATCCATTGCAGCTAGAATACTAATACCAACGACCAATACCTTTTAACATCAAGCTTGGATAAGATCTAGAAGTGAATATACATTGTCTATTGGTCCATATGATTTTAAAACAGACTTTTGTTGTTACCGGATGATGTGTATATTGTAATAAATATACGGTTTTAACTGCAAGACACTCTGATTCGATTTGTTCAGAAAACTGGAAAACAAATATCTCACGGAATGCAAATTTCCTACATTTAATGGTGGAGAATGCGGGCAACTTGGATTTAAGTCAGAAGGCAACTTTGAGTTAAGTCTGAATTATTGCCGACTTAATATTTAAGTGTTCTGCTACAAACTACAAGAAGACAAGAAGATAAGAAAATCGCTAAAGAAAAGTTGAAAGTGTTCTCTGAAGAAAAGCTGTAGTACCCGGCTTGAAACAGGAGAAAAACAAGAGACTGATTAACACAGCAGGAGTGCATCCCAAAGATTCTTCGTTTAAACATCCCAGGTCTGATGCGAAGACGGAGGTGAAGCAGGGTGAGAAAGTCGTTCGAACGCGGCAGATGTTTATGTTCAGTACTGAAGCAAGAATTTGAAGATAAATAATTGAGATGGACAATCCGGGTCCTTTTTATCCACACTTTATCAAGTAATTTGTGACGACGTGCAGATCGAAGATTGCATTTCGGAGGATTCTCAAGAATAACTACATATTCCAGAAAGTATTCTTCTATCAGAAAGTGGCCATATCTGTGGAACCAGAGTACTTAATGGGTATGTGTCTTGTTTTAAATCATATGTAAAATGTGCTCTCATATATATATTGTTTGTTAAACAAAGTGTTTTAACTGTTTAAGTTAATTATGGAGTGGCTGCAAAGGATTGCTGCCAGATCTAATAGAGATCTTTCTGTAAAAGGTGTTAACCCAGAAAGTATTTGGGATGACTGTTTATTGAAATTGATAGATGGATTAAGTGAGATAGAGCACAACAATGTATTTAAAAAGGAAAGTCAAAAAGTTGCATTACTGGCAAAGAGCTTTTTGGAAACTAATGATGCAATGAATGAATGGTGTCAACTTAAAAAGACCAGTAATTGTTATGTATGTAGTACAACAAAACAAAAAAGGGATGTTTTGTTAAAACAACTGAAAAATGTATGTGTTGTCACAAGGACTAGTTATTTCCCTAGCCCCCCCAGCAAAACTGTGAAATCTCCACAAAAGCTGTTAACAGAAGGGAGATTGCCCCCAAGGCTCTCTTTTGATAGTGACTTGGAATCCACGTTAACTGAAACAAAAACTCAAATAGAAAATTCTCGGCAATTGTTGAAAAGTTTTAGTAGGGATCAAGAAAATGAAGATATTAATATAATGAAAGAAATGCTTAGAAATCAGACTGATTTGTTAGATAGAACCCATAAAACCCTGTCTCATATGTCTAAAGAATTAGACATAAATGTTACTAATTTTGACAATTTGCAGAGACAGATTACTAATCTGGGTAGTGCTACAGATATTTTGTGGAAAGCTACAAATCAGAAAGATTTGGATTTTACTTTGAAAGAGGAAAGTGAAAATGAAATAGCTCAAAGGTTAAGTTGTGAAAACGGGCAGGCGAGAAGTGAAATAGAAAATAAATTGGGAAATGTACAAGGAAAGGGTCAGTTGGATATTCTCAAATTAGCTAAATTGATTAAGGATTTGCCTAAATATGATGAAAAAAGAGGACCTTTTTACAATATGAGTGTTTTTGAAGGTGAAATGAATAAAAGACAATTTGATGATGTGGTAGCCACAAGAGGTCTTTTGATCTGGCTGCCAACTTCATTAAGTGAATGGGTTAAAGTTAAACTCATTGATGTGTTGGAAGAGAAGTCAAGTGAAAAGCCCCGAGTTGAGTTGGAGGAATTGTTTCCAAACAATACACAGAGATTGCTAATGGTGGTACAGTGTGCAACTGGTGTGGAGAATTTTCAATTTTCTACTCTTGATTCATTTAAAATGGAGAAAAATGATGATATACGTGTTTGTGCTAATTTGTGGAATAAGGCATGGAATTTGATTACGGATACAGAACCATCTGCTATGTCTAAAGAACAACATAAGCAGAGTGTTACTGAATTTGTCTCTAGAATAGCAGGGTTGCCAAATGAGATAAAATTAAGAGCTTTTGATTCACCCACAGTTGATTTTGCTGCTACAGAAATAATGAAATCTTTGCAATTGTTGCAAAAGAAAAACACAGAAACAGCTAAGATTTTTGCTTTCACAGACACAATTTTTTCTAGGGATACTTCAGCAGGTCTGGCCCCTATTAACTATGTGTCTCGTGAAGAAGGTAGAGGAAGATATGAAAATAATAGAAATGGTAATTTTAGAGGGAGGTCTATGAATAAACCACAAAATTACCAGGGTACTAGAAATTATTCGGCCCCATCCCAAGATAGATATTATAGGGTTAGTCAGAATAGTCCTATGATATGCTATAAATGCAACCAAGAAGGTCATGTTAGGAGATATTGTCCCAAAAATGAAGAAAAATCTTACACAGTGAAAGGGAAAGAAAATGGCATTGTGCCAGGCTATAAGAATCTACAGAGAGTGGCAGCTGTAGAAACCGAAAATACATCTTCAAACCCCCCTCAAATATCAAATCCATATGAAGAGTGTAGACGGATGTTAAATGCCATTGAAATGAAGGTGGAAGCAGTCACAAGTCCACAAGTGAATTCTGCTTACCACACCAATAAATAGGGATGTGTAACCCCTAGTTGTTCTCTGGTCTATCTCACTGATATTACTCTGGGTGAAGATGGAAGGCCATATATTTATGGAACACTAGAGGGGAATATAACAGAGTTTTTAGTAGACACAGGAGCTGCAGTGTCTTTAACCAACAAAAGCTTGCCTTTAAAAATTGAAGCACCAACAATTTCCCTTCTAAGTTTTAATGGAGCACATGCCCATGCAACTCTATCCACTGATAATTACATCAAATTTGAAGGAGGTAAAATAAATTGTGACTTATGTGTCGACCTCTCATCCCACTGTACTATTTTGGGGATGGATGTTATCAATGGAAAAAAGTTGTATGTGGATTTATTGAATTTGGTTTTGTGGCAAGCTCCAGGTGAGAGCAAATCAGGTGGAGTGGTTAGACCTAATGATTTAGGATGGTATAGTCATGTCATGTCTGTAAAACAGGGTGAAGTGTCATCTTCTATACAAGATGATGATGATTTTGTAACCTATCTTAAAGAAAAATACCCCACAGTATGGTCTAAATCTAAACAAGATTGTGGGAGAATGAATTTACAAGTTGTCATTGAAGGACCAGACCCTCCTGCAGTAAAACAATATAAAATTCCAAAAGAATCAGAAGAAGGTGTGAGTCAAGTGATAGAGGCATTGGTATCTCAAGGAGTGCTGAGAGTGGGTAATTCCAAATGTAATTCCCCCATTTGGCCAATAATCAAGCCAGATGGCTCTTATCATTTAATTGTGGACATGCGAGTGGTGAATAAGTATACCCCACCAGCAGCCCATATAGTGTCCTCCTCACCAGATATCATGGCACAAGTAGACGGCAATGCTAAGTATTTTTCTGTTCTGGATATAGCCAATGGGTTTTTCTCAATACCAGTACATCCAGATAGTCAGTATCGTTTTGCTTTTACCTTTAAAAATCATCAATATTTGTTCCAGGTGCTGCCACAGGGCTTCCACTCCTCGCCAGCTTATTTTCATAAAGCACTGGCTCAAGTATTGGAACCCCTGGGGTATGGGAGCAAGATTTTGCAATATGTTGATGATCTGTTGGTTCAAACAGTAACAAGGGAAGAGCATGAGCAGATACTGTGTGATATTTGTCAAGCACTGGCAGATAATGGGTTAAAACTGAACACATTCAAAGTGCAGATCTTGAAAGAAAGCGTGGCTTTCTTAGGAGTAAATATAGATCCAGCAGGTAAAACACCACGAACAGCAAGGGTTAAAGCATTACAGCAATTGCCAAGGCCAATGACAGTGTCTGATCTAAGGAAATTTTTAGGTTTGGTAAATTTTAGCAGAGAATTCATCTATGATATGGCAGGAATAGCAAAACCCCTGTACAATATGCTAAAAGATAGTGCTAATACAGATAAGCTACTCTGGACAGAGGAAGCTGAAAAGAGTTGGAACCTGTTAAAAGATGCTCTTACACAAGCGCCTGTGTTAGCTGCTCCCATTGAAACAGTACCATATATTGTTCAATGTTACGCAGGTGTCTCTTCATTAATTGCAGTTTTGATGCAAAGGCAACATGGCTCCTTACGAATACTGGGATATTTTTCTAAAATCATGTCTCCAGTGGAAAGGGGAATGTTTTCCTGTGTAAAACAGCTTTTGGCTGTATGTTGGGCTTTAGAAGCAACACAACACATTGTAGGATTTGGACAGCTAATTTTACAAACCCCTCACACACCTTTAAAACTGTTACACAATTGTTCTGATTTAGGAGTACATAGCCAGAGGGTAGCTCATTGGATATTGAAGTTACAAGATAAACCACTCAAGGTAGAAAGCAGTAAAAGATATGTTATTCCTGAGTTGATAGAGATAAGTGGAACACCTCATGATTGTCAAAAGGAATTAGAAATTGAATCTAAATCTCCTTTTGAGAAACAAGCAACACAAGGGGCTCCTTGTTTGTATGTGGATGGTACAAGATTTTATGCTGATGGATCACATCATACAGGTTATGCCATTTATGACGATCAAACAAAAGAAATGCAGAGATATAAATTGCCAGGCCATATGTCTGCTCAGAGAGCTGAGTTAGAGGCTGTAAGGAAAGCTCTGGAAATAACAGCATATGACCCAGTGAATATAATCAGTGACAGCAGCTATGTAGTTAAAGCTTTAACACTTCATCTCCCAATATGGAGAAAACGGGGGATGGTAGATTCACAGGACAAAGCTTTAAAACATGCAGGTATTTTGGCAGAACTGTTTGACTATGCAGGAAAAAAGGGTTTAACTTGTGCTGTTGTGAAAGTTCAAGCACATCAAAACAGGAAAAATAGGGATGAAATGGCAGAAGGAAACAGACTTGTAGATCAGGGAGCAAAGGAAGCTGCTTTAATAGGAGAGTTGCAATACTCAGAAAATGTAATGATTGCAACTGTGAGTAAAAGACCAATATCAAATCCCCTACAAGATCTGAAAGAAAATCAGAGTAAAGATGTAGCTTTCAGTAAAGAAACAATGGATTTAGATACTGAAACTGGCTTATACGGGATTAAACATGAGGAAACACAAACGTTTGTACCATTTGTACCTAGTGATATATTGCAGGAGTTGATTGTATTCAATCATCGTACACTGGGGCATTTGGGTACAGAAAACCTGTTTAAGGTCCTGCAAAATAAATTTTATCATCCTAATTTGAAACAATGGTGTACAAATATAGTACAGGAGTGCCTCATATGTGCTCAATTTAATCCCAGACCTAAAGGTCAGAAACCAAAATTGCAGAGAGTACCTTTGGCAAAAGGACCATGGGACTCTATACAAATTGATTTTATTGGACCATTACCTATAGCTCCAGGAGGACTAAAGTACGGATTGGTAATTGTTGATATATTCTCCAAATGGGTGGATTGTATAGCTCTTACCAATTGTACAGCGTTAACAACATGTAAGGTGCTATGGAAATATGTATTTTCTGTATGGGGTTTTCCCAGAATCATTGAATCTGACAATGGTCCACACTTCATTGGAGAAGTACTTAAAGAGATGTGTAAATTGTTGGGGATCCAACAAAGATTTCATGTCCCATATCATCCACAGTCGGCCGGCATAGTGGAAAGAATGAATAGGACACTGAAATCTAGATTGAAAAAAATGCTTGAAGATAAAGGGAGTAGTTGGGTAACACACTTACCAGGAGTTTTAATGTCTATTCGTGCAACTCCAAACTCCAAAACGCAAGTGTCACCTCATGAGTTAATGACAGGCAGAACCATGCCAATTACTTTCCCCAATGAACCTTTTGTTCCAAGTACTTTCAAAGTTGCTGCAGAACATGCTGAATGGTTAAAAGTGTTACAAGAACAGCTGCAGTCAGTTTTGAAGTTTGCTGCTTTGAATATGGCCCCTTCTGGTAAACAATGGGTTAAAGATGTAACTCAGGGGAATTATGCAGATAAATTTAAACCAGGATACAAAGTGATGGTAAAATCATTTAGAACACCAGGTCCCTGGCAGGCAGGTTGGGAAGGACCTTATGTTATTCTAAAGAAATTAGGACAAACTGTCTTACAGGTTCAAAGAGCAAAAGTTGGTAGGAAATGTAATAAAGCAATTCTTGTGCATATTGATCAATGTAAACTCACTAATGTATAAGAATAGTAAACTGCCATCTGTTTTTCATTACAGAATCAATAATGTTTGTTCATGGACAAAGACTGTTTAATTTTAAAAAGGACAAATTGTTTGGACTATCAAAAGACACTATGGACAAAAAGACTGCTCTCATGAATGCGATTGGAGAGGACCTTACTTCACGGACTAAATCAAACCGATTGGGGTTTCTTGATAATGTAACCTTTATAAAATTGCATAGCATCATACTGTTTTTAATCATGATGATGTTAGGTACAATCAATACCCAAGGTACAGGTACTCCAGATTGTGATATTAGAGATACTTTTTCTAAATGTACAGCATTCCCCTATGAGTGTAAAGTGAGATATTGTAAGACTCCTGATGTTGATTATTGTGGATGCATTAATGCAGACACATCTGAGGATGCAATATCCGGTGCGCTCATATTCCATGATAACCAAGAACCATGTATGACATATCTATCAGTTGACGGACGAATTGATTTAATCATTAATATTACCAAGGATCGGACATATATAATGCAAAATAATACGGAGAGTAGGTGTGTGGTACCTACTGGTATAGACAACACCCTTACCCTTACTATGTTTAATGTGAGAAGTGTCAACGATGATGGGTTAAATTGCTAAATCTACTTAATAGATACACTTGTTAATCCTTACACAAATGCTAAGGTAAATATTATGACATAATACCACCCATACTAAAAAGGACTGATTCTATTATGAAATATGATCAACGTACTTTATATAATGTAAACATAGGTTACGGAGTTGATTTCTATAAGCAGTTAAAGAACAATGAAGAGTTATTACAAGTTATTGATAAAGCTGCGACTGGAGTACATAACACTTTAGTACAAATACATACAGTGCAAGGTATGATTAAAAGCATTAAACATGATTATATCGAAGAAACCACATCCTGGTGGCAACGGTGGTTTGGGGGACAAAAGACAGGATTAGTTATGGGTATGACACACTTCATAACTCATCCTTTGGTAATTTTGATAATTATTATTATTATGGTTTTATTCTTCTTTAGTTGGTATATGTTTAAAAGAATCAATCGTTTACGGTCTCAACTGATGGATGTGGAATACAGATGTAAATTCCTGACCACAAAATTAAAGTTTTACAAGGAATTGGAATAAATTATGATGCATTATATTTACATAAAAAGCATCAAAGGGGAACTTGAAAAATATTTTTATGAACTTTAAATGTATTCAACGTGTTGTAGGAATGTAGAAATATTGTAAGTTATTATTTTAAGCATATCCAGACATCGAGGGGCCTACCCAGATAGATTACTATCATAATGTAATTTATACACATACTGTAATTTACACACATATGGTTTTAAGTCAAGAATGATGGATGGAGACTTGTGGACCCTGTTGATAATAACCTTTGACCTAGCCTTGTAAGCCTGAATTCCTGTGAAGGTTCACATTTCTATAGGCAATCATTCATTCATTCATTTAATTAGAAGTCTCAAGAAGGTCTTTGTGTGTAACTTACCAAAACATCATAACGTATGGCTTTAATCATAGATATCGAATAATACTAAGTTACCACCTATTTTTTCTTAGATAACCAATTATTGTAAAGCAGGCAAACCTTATGTCATTATGTATACGCCCTATGTAATTGAATTTTAAATGTATATAATCCATTGCAGCTAGAATACTAATACCAACGACCAATACCTTTTAACATCAAGCTTGGATAAGATCTAGAAGTGAATATACATTGTCTATTGGTCCATATGATTTTAAAACAGACTTTTGTTGTTACCGGATGATGTGTATATTGTAATAAATATACGGTTTTAACTGCAAGACACTCTGATTCGATTTGTTCAGAAAACTGGAAAACAAATATCTCACGGAATGCAAATTTCCTACAGAAAGTTGGGTAGAAAGTATGTTTTAACTGTATGTGTAATTGAGTTTCCTCTCAGGATAAGGGGAGGGAATATGTGGGATGTAACTGTGATGTGATTGGTTGTTTTATACCTCCCTGTGGGAGGTCCTGTATTTGCAAGACTGTAATAAAAACCAGGCTGGGTGTGCCAGCACCTCAGACCACTGCTTGACCCTCAACACGGAGCCTTGTCTCGTTCTTGGGGGGATTCACTGTATGCTGATAGAGACTGATTGCCAGGAGTGTAAGCTGATTGTCTGCTTTTCCTGTTCATCTGCTAGCAGCTATTCGTGAGGTTCCAGTTCGAGTGTTTGGAGCATTCCCTTGTATGCAGTTCGAGTGTTTGGAGCATTCCCTTCTATGCAGTTCGAGTGTTTGGAGCATTCACTTATTGGCAGTTCGAGTGTTTGGAGTATTCCCTTGTATGCAGTTCGGGTGTTTGGTGCATCCACTTGTATTCAATTCGTGAGTTTTGGTGATTCTACAGTAGCTGTGCCTGTCTCTGAAAGGGGATTATCGTCTAAGCGTTTTTTTCCCTTTTGTGCAAAACTGTCCGTTACAGTATGATGTCGCTGATGGTGCCTTCGGTGCGACTGACTAGGTTTGTCACCTCCTCAAAAGGACGCATGAGCCTACAGGCATTGCGCATGAGCGTCCAGTAACGTGGCAAAAAAATTCCCAGCTCCCCAGAGGCTGTCCTAGCACCCCGGTCATACAAATATTCATTAACGGCTTTTTCTTGTTGGAGCAGGCGGTCGAACATTAGGAGTGTTGAATTCCAACGTGTCGGGCTGTCGCAAATCAAGCGCCTCACTGGCATGTTGTTTCGCCGCTGGATATCGGCAAAGTGAGCCATGGCCGTGTAGGAACGCCTGAAATGGCCACACACCTTCCTGGCCTGCTTCAGGACGTCCTGTAAGCCTGTGTACTTATGCACAAAGCGTTGTACGATCAGATTACACACATGTGCCATGCACGGCACATGTGTCAACTTGCCCAACTTCAATGCCGCCAACAAATTTGTTCCGTTGTCACAAACCACTATGCCGATCTCCAGTTGCTGCGCAGTCAGCCACTTTTCCACCTGTGCGTTCAGGGTGGACAGGAGTGCTTGTGCGGTGTGACTCTCTGCTTTCAAGACGGCGTGACACTGCCGTATCCGGGATGTGGAATAGTACCTGGGGAGCTGGGGGGGGTGCCATTGATGTGGAGCAAGACGCAGCAGCAGAAGAGGACTCAGCCGGGGAGGTTATGGAAGAGGATGGAGTAGGAGGAGTAGAGGAGGTGGCAGCAGGCCTGCCTGCAAGTCATGGCGGTGTCACCAACTCCTCTGCAGAGCCACGCATTCCATGCTTGGCAGCCGTCAGCAGGTTTGCCCAATGCGCAGTGTAGGTGATAAACCTGCCCTGACCATGCTTTGCAGACTAGGTATCAGTGGTCAGATGGACCCTTGCCCCAACACTGTGTGCCAGACATGCCATTATTTCCTTTTGCACAATCGAGTACAGGTTGGAGATTGCCTTTTGTAAAAAGAAATTTCATCCAGGTACCAGTGAGTGAGTGCTGGCACTGGGCACAGTATCCACTGTGAGCCTGACACACCCGCTGGCAGACAACTAACTGCTATTCAATCTATAACAGTGAAAAAAGTTTTTGGGTTTTAAATGCACGCTATTGTGACACCAGATATGAGTGGCAAAGTACACTGGCAGAGGTCTGCAGAGCACACGCTGAAGGCCTGACACCCGCTTTAAGGACACTGACTGCTATTAGCTTACACTGAAAAACTTTTTTTTCTTTGTAAAAGCACGCTATAGAGACACCAGATATGAGTGGCAAAGTACACGGGCAGAGGTCTGCAGAGCACATGCTGAAGGAGGCCTGACACCCGCTTTAAGGACACTGACTGCTATTAGCTTACACTGAAAAACTTTTTTTCTTTGTAAAAGCACGCTATAGAGACACCAGAAATGAGTGGCAAAGTACACGGGCAGAGGTCTGCAGAGCACACGCTGAAGGAGGCCTGACACCCAGACGCTTGCAGACAACTAACTGCTATTCAATCTATTACAGTGAAAAAAATTTTTTTTCTTTTTAAATGTCAAGCTTAAGCTATTGTGACACCAGATATGAGTCGTGGCACTGGGCAAATGGGCACAGTATCCACTGTGAGCCTGACACACCCGCTTTAAGGACACTGACTGCTATTCAATCTATAACAGTGAAAAAAGTTTTTTGTTTTTAAATGCAAGCTATTATGACACCAGATATGAGTGGCACTGTAAACTGGCAGAGTACACGCTGTAGGGCTATGAGTGATGGCACTGACTGGGCAAATGGGCACAGTATCCACTGTGAGCCTGACACAGAAGCTGGCAGCAGTGGCAGACAACTAACTGCAATTACATTACACAAAAAAAAAAAAAGCAGACTGATGTTCTAGCCCTAAAAATGGCTTTTTGGGGTGCTGTCCTTACAGCAGAGATCAGATGAGTCCTTCAGGACTGTAGTGGACACTGTATACCCTAACCTAGCTATGCATTTCCCTATCTAATCAACAGCAGCTACACTTTCCCTCCTCTCACTAAGCATGCAGCTTGAGAATGAATCTAAAATGGATGCTGTCCAGTAGGTGGGAGGGTCTGCTAGGGAGGGTGTGCTGCTAATTGGTGTGCTGCTAATGTGTCTGCTGACTGTGAGGTACAGGGTCAAAATTTACTCAATGATGATGAATAGGGGGCGGATCGAACTGCGCATGTGTTCGCCGTCCGCGGCAGACGCGAACACGCTATGTTCGCCGGCGAACCGTTCGGTGCATCACTAGTGGTGACCAGCAACTTAAGAGTGTAAAAGATTTCCTCTGCTTCAGGAGTTAAATGAAAGGGTTCACGGGTGAGGCAATCATACAAGGGCTTCATGTAGATTGCTGCAGAGTGAAGCCATGGGCGACAATTGGAGACTAGATCCAGGAATGTACGTAGCTGGGCTAGGCTGCGTGGGGGGTTAATTTTCTGTACTGCATTTTTCCTGTCTTCTGTGAGATGTTTTTTTACCATGAGAAATACAGTGTCCTAGAAAGATAGCAGTGGGAACACATGCTTGCAGTTTGGACTTGGTTTCTTCCCGAGTCGCACAGCTTGTACGTCAGTGCGTTCCACAGATGGAACAAACGCCAACATTTGATTTGAATTCACAAAGATTATCTTCAGTATAAGAAGCCCGTTTTACAGAAGCAGTACTTCAGATCCCTGAGGAAGAACCTACACAGGACGAAACGCGTTGGATTTTATATTTGAACTGCTTATGGACTTTTTATATTGTTTGCTTTTATTCACTTCCTGCTGGTTTTGTGAAGACTACTTTGCTGCATTTGGTTACACATTATGTGGATTTATGCCCAGATTGTCTACCTGCTTGTAAGTGCAATCTTAATAAATTTTTCCTATACTGTGTATATACTTTACTGTGTATGGCTCTTTCCTTCATCTATTCAAGGAGTTAAAGAGGAGTGAATTTTGCCAACCTTCCCTATCGTTTTAACTCCAGGTGGGAGAGAAGCCTTTTTCACGCCTGTGTTTGTGAGTGCAATTCCTATAAGAGCACATAATTCATTTTAAATTTTACTGCATGTAGTGTTTATTATTATTACAGGCTCATACTAATCATAATTATTAATACCCTGGTTCACCTACCCAGGTTGTATTAATTTTATTACTTATTCTGGATGTTTTTCCACTTTTTTCTGTGTTAGCTTTGCACCCTGTTTGTGTGGCAAAACCAGCCACTTATGGACACTAAGGGTTGAATAAATGCGGTAATTTTTGTTATTTCCTCTATGACTGAGACAGAGTATTCGCATGCTAGCAGTACATGCTAGCGGTACATAACATGCTAGTTTCATGAACAGTTTTGGGATAATATGTTCGTGAAACGAATAAAACTACCAAATGGGAAACCACACGAGGGAGTCGTGTGTCTCCCATTAGCAAACTGGCAACATTGTATCCGCATACTGTTAATGGTTTTAGGGGTGGCCGCCGTTCGTATAACTGAACAAGTGGCGGCGGCCATCTTTTGTTCACGAAAGCCCAGCATTGTTTTGTCGTTGAGTGCCTGGAACTAAGATTGGCTACTGGACTTCCATGCCTTTCGTATAAAATATTAATTTGTGCAAATCAGATGGCGTTTGACATAATAACACCGCCTGTTTATTGTATCCTTACCATGTGTGTTCGTATGAACCTTCTTTCGAATGGCTTCTAGTGAATGGATCTGAGCGGTATTTCACCAGATGGTGCGCTCAGATCTCAGCTATTCAATGAAGGGTCATTCGGGTAATTCGAATACGAATTATGTATTTTTGTGTAAAATCGTGAATTTAGCTGTATGGAGAGAATGCAATTAACCATATATTCTTGCACACTTATCTCTCCAGTACAGCAATGTATGACGGGAAATAACATTGCAGGTTATGTTTTACAGAGTCCACCCGTGGAAAACCCCTGCAATATCAGTATGGAATCCCCTTGCATGGGGACTTGTTTAAACTATGTGTCGTCTAGTTCTTGGGAATAAGGGATTATTACTACGCTACGTGCTTTATCCGGACCACCAGCGGAGATACCGTGGATTAACCTACTACTCCGCTACAGCTTGTGTTAGACATTTTAGAAAAGACAAGGTGTGCTCTGTACAGGATTTCTGGTCTGGGTAACATAAAAGAAAATCATCAACATATTGTAATAACACAAGATCATCTGCCTTTGGCCAAGTGTCTAGAATTTGGGTCATTGCCATGCTGTAGATAGTAGGTGAATTCTGTGCACCCTGGGGTAATACAGTCCATGTGTATTGTTTGTGTTTAAGGTGGAATCTAT